TGAACTGTTTGTGGTATTTTCCCAAGATAATGCCATGTGACTTCTCTCTCTCATTAATTAAGTTTCTTTTCAACACTCAGACTCTGTGCTTGCGAGGGGGAAGCATTGCCTCTCAGAGGCACCCAGGGGTGTGTGAATTTCCCAGGCTACTGGGTGGGAGCTCAAGTCGGTTCTGTGAGAGATGGACCCCTAGATATTGAAGGGTTATGCTTACATGACACTTATGAGATACACTTTGACATTAATGAATTGGGATGCACTGAACTGGTTAAGCCAGATGAAACTGGCTACAAGATACCAGCAAGACTCTTGCTTAGTGCTGTTAGGCTCACACCTTGCTGTGGATACTACTTCCTTACTCCATAAAGCAGATGTTGGTGCTTGTAGTGGCCTGCTGGGTGCAAATATATCCAGTTATGTCTTATTTTGCTCTGTGTCATGGGGCAAGCACTCACCTCCCACCAATTGCTCCGGGAATTAGCACTCGTGTCTCAGGAAGCTTTCTGCTGGTTGGTGTCCCACCCTCAGTTGCAGGTCTTCTGATGGTTCAGCTCTGTGTCCCTTCATGGCTACAAAGCCCATTCTTCCACAAACTGTCTTAGATTAGTGCCCCTGCACGATGGGGTCCTCCACTCCCAGGGAACCCCCAATTCCCCTATGCTTACCATGCCTCAGTGACCCACTGTCAGTCATCATCTAGCCTTGCCTCAGGGGGAAACTGCAGTCTGAAACGGCCACTCATCATTGGCAAGGGGGTGTGGACCTGCTGCCTTTCCCTAGCCCTAGTACACTCAGGCCTTATCTCAGACCTTGCAGCCTGGGAGTGAGGTCAGGCCAGAGCTCCCCAGCTCTGCCAGGGTCGGCCCATCCATATAGGTGAACTAGGCAGTCGCCTAGGGTGCCAAGCTAAATGGGGCATGAAATGGTGGTGCAATATCATTGAGGGGTTTGGAGATGGGTGTGCTGATTGCATGGTTCGCCTAGGGTGCCAGTTGCTGGCAGCTAGGCTGGGGCCGCCTCTATCGACTACACTATTACATCCCTACTACTGTTGTGTCCCTGTTCAGAACCATGTAGATGTTGCTTCTAATAAGGCAACTGTTTGACTTATTACAGCAAGCTTTGGCTTTTATTTAGGCTTCAGCTATTGAGTCATCAAAGGAACGGAGCCCATATCACTATCTTCCTACAGAAGCAGACATTCCCAAAGCATGCTGCAGAGAGCAGAATTGTATTTTGATTCAGAATTTAATTAAGAGATTGGGTAATGTATATAAGGTTGAAAACAGCTAGGGACTGAAGAACCAGCAACTGAAATACTGGCAACAGAACTGAATCTTCTACAAAGAAGGCAAAAATGCTGCTAAAATTCCAGGATATTTTCAAGGTCTTAATACATGCACAGAATGGAGCAACAAAATTACTAAGAGTGAGTCTTTTGCCTGCTTCTGTAATAGCGAAAGCACAAGCATGCTCACTAAGCTATAGCTAAATGACTGTGGCTGTGTCTACATTGGCACCCTTTTCCAGAAAAGGGATGCTAATGAGACAAGTCGGAATTGCAAATGCTGCGGGGGATTTAAATATCCCCCGCGGCATTTGCTTGAACATGTCTGCCACTTTTTTCCGGCTCGGGGCTTTTCCGGAGAAAAGGGCCATTCTAGACGGTATCTTCTGGTAAATAAAACCTTTTCCGGAAGATCCCTTATTCCTCTTAAATTCAGGAATAAGGGATCTTCTAGAAAAGGCTTTATTTTCCGAAAGATCCTGTCTAGACTGGAGCTTTTCTCTGGCACAGCCCCGAGCCGGAAAAAAGCGGCAGCCATGTTCATGGAAATGCCGTGGGGGATATTTAAATCCCCCGCAGAATTTGCAATTCCGAAGTGTCTCATTAGCATCCCTTTTCCGGAAAAGGGTGCCAATGTAGACACAGCCCCTGTGTGTTTCCAGATAACAAAAGCATCCCAGGGGAAGACTGTTTGAGACAATCCTGTTGGCAAGCACTGACCAAACATTTAAAAACTTAGATAAACAAACTTTAAAACTTTTACAAATACCCAAAGCACAGAAGCTAGACCAAATCACGCTGTGTTATATGACAGTTTTCTGAACTTAACCACACATTTAAGCATTAAATTGTTTCCGTATGTGGGTATCTTGATTGGCTTATTTTAGATGCGACTTTTAGTAATTATCAATATATTTTGCAGTGCAAAATGGAGGGCCTGATTCTGAACCCCTTACTCACTTTGAAGTAGGGATGTGAGTGGTTAATCAGTTAACTGGTAAGCTCTAGCCTGGCTGTGTCTGCTACACCATGGACAGGGGGCACTCCAGCCCAGATAGAGCAGCCTCCGCCCATAGCAGGGTTGGCCTGGCTGAAGCAGCCTGCTATGCAGTAGGCAAGGGGACCATTCCAGCCCAGCCAGGCTGGAATGCCTCCTCCCCCATACCCAAGTTTAAGCAGTTAACTGGTTAAACATAACATTTAACTGGTTAACTGATTAAATGGGCTTTTACATCCCTACTTTGAAGAACACATCCCCCTAATTGAGCTTACTGTGACTGTTGGTGTGAATAATTACTACTCAAAGTGGTTGAAGGGTTGCAAATATTACCCTGGTTGTATTGGTTGGCTGGGTTTTTTTGCCTGGAGGCTCTAGCTCAACAAAACACTTAACAACGTGCGCTTAAATCTCATTAAAGTTAATGGGATTTAAGTAATGAGGGTGAGAAACGCAAAGAGACTTAGGGTGTGTCTAGACTACCTAGTTTTGTCGACAAAAGTGGACTTTTGTCGACAAAACTATACCAGCGTCTACACTACCGCTGAGTTCTGTCGACATAACGTCGACAGAACTCAGCAGTTTTGTCGACACTGGTATACCTCATTTTACGAGGCATAACACCTTCTGTCGACAGAACTCTGTCAGAACTCAGGTGTTATTGCCTGTAACATTGCGTCCAGACTACGGAGTTCTGTCGACAAAGCAACTTGCTTTGTCGACAGAACTCAATGTGTCTGGACGCTCTTTGTCGACGGAAGTTTTGTCGACAGTATCTGTCGACAAAACTTCCGTCGACAAAACGCGGTAGTCTAGACGTACCTTAGACATTGCAGTGCTGAGCATCATAATGGCTGTTCCACAGTGACTATTGCAATGCTGAGCATCATAATGGCTGTTCCACAGTGACTAAATACTGAAATAGGTCATGGACCGGAGAGGAAGAGGGAGAGTGAATGAGTGACTCTGCAGTTCAGTGATTAGAACAGCCAGTAGAGAGGAGGAAGAGCTTGGGTCCAATTTATCCACAGTGGAACAGCTTCAATAGAAGAGGCTGAAGAAGTTCCACTTCACAATATAGCTTAATAGTTAATGCACTCTCCAGGCCCGTGCACCGGGGGGGTGCGAAGGGTGAGAAAGCACCCCTCATGGCCCTCCAAGTAAGTGTGCTCTGGCCGGCCAGAGGAAGGCAGGAGCAGCGCGCTGCCTGAGCCTGTCTCCCCCATGCTCTGACCAGCCAGAGAAAGCTGGGGCTGATTTCCCCATTTACTTGGGAGGGTCATGGGAGTGAACTCATACCCTTGTAATCCACATTTACAAAAAAGCACACACACCCCAGAGAAATTCCTGCGTACGGGCCTGATCTCCTAACAACTGAGAGAACCCATGTTCAAATCCTTTCTCCACAACTCTGGAAGAGATGGGGGGGAACTGAGCCTGGGTTTCCCACACTCCAAGTGAGCGTGCTAGCTCCTAAGCTAAAAACTATAGAGTAGACACTACCGTCTCCTTGATACTGAGACAGACCCAATCTGGTAGGCAGACTCCAAGTACACATACCAGAGCAGGACCTGCATGCGAGTTAGTTGGCTGAATGCCTGTCTTCCCCTGGTTTGTGAGTCATTCTGAAGCTTAGGCTCCAGATAAGGTATCCAGGCGCCCAGAGAGATGCACCAGTGCACATGCCTAGAGGCAGAAACACAGCTGCCTAGGGAACTTTTATGGCAAAACATTAGGCAGAGTGAGTTGAGCATCTAGAGCAGTGTTTCTCAAACTGTGCTCCGTGGAGCTCCGGGGCTCCGCAAGACATCTCCAGGGGCTCCACGAGGTTGACAAACTGAAAACATCGATAGGTACAACACATACAATCAGTGGACCGCTGGGACGCCACATAAATTTTTACGCATGTAAAGGGCTTCGGAGCCCAAAAAGTTTGAGAACTGCTGAACTAGAGGTTTCAGTGCAAGTTTTGTAAATCACAATGGAGCCTGATCTGTGCCATAGATCCCTAAGCTCAAGACTTCGGTAACTAAGCAGTCTTGAGGATCTGTGCCTAAATGCCCGAAATCGTTATGAGAAATGAAGAGATAATGCAAAGGGGCCCATTACAATTCCCTGATGGGAGCTGGATAAGGCCCCAAGTGCCTCAGAACCTCATAACGTGCTGAAAGGTTCAACACTGTTCTATATCTGGAATATTTATGTTAACGGGACCACAAAGATTAATGAAAGCCTATTTTAGGCAAAGCTCTCATGCATTCCACTGGAATCTTGTCTAGAAGTGCAAGAAAAATGATGCAAAGGGAGTTGGTGCAATTCTAGAGTGTATATATGTTGAATTTCTCCTTATCTTATTCTTAGTTTGAGACTTCCACTAACAATTAAAAACTGGTTACACATTAGCCACCATCCCAAGTAACCCAACTGCTGAAACCAGCCAGACTAGTCATTGATTTTAAAAAAATCGAAAGATTTAAAAAAAATCAAAATGTGTATTTTTGCCCCTAAAAGAGAAAGGTAACTTTTTCAAAACTTTCCATAAAATGCACCCAGTTTTTCATACAACAGGTTATCTTGAATACTGTGTGCAGATGTGGTTGTGCCATCTCAAAAAAGATGTATTGGAATTGGAAAAGATTCAGAAAAGTGCAAAAATGATGAGAGTATTGACCAGCAAAAGAGATGACTAAGGGGATATGAGAGAATTCTGTAAATATGACTGATGTGGAGAATGTAAGTAAGGAAGTATTTACTCCTCATAACTCAAGAACTAGGGCTTACCAAATGAAATTAACTGGTTTAAAACAAACAAAGGGAAGTATTTCTTTCCACAACGCACAGTCAAATTATGGAGCTCTGCCAAAGCAGTTGTAAAGGCCAAAATGATAACAGAGTTCAAAAAAGAACTAGATCCCACAATGGCTATTAGCCGGGATAGGCAGAAATGTTCCCTGCCTCTGTTTGCTAGAACCTCAGAATGTGACAGGGGATGTTCTGTTCATTCTCTCTAGGTACCTGGTACTGGCCACTGTCAGAAGACAGGACACTGAGCTAGATGGAACTTTTGTACTGACCCAGTATGGCCGTTCTTATGTTGCCTGATTAAGATGAAATTTTATTTTTCAGCTGTAACCTGCAAAGATTTATGGTATTTTATTGTATAGCCTTTATTTTCTCTTTCCTGTTATCAGTGTTTATTTGTGTGCTTTGATAGGATAAGTGCAGGTTGAACCTCTGTGGTCTGGGATTCTCTTGTCTGGCAACATCTGTGGTCCAGCAGGATCACGGATATTGCTGGACTAGAGAGCCACAGCACAGAAGTTGCCAGCAGCTGGCACCAGAGCCTGCAGCCAGCCGGGCTGAGAAGCAGTCTGAAGGGGGCGGGGTACCGAGCCCATAGTCAGCAGCACCAGGAAGTCGGCACACCCAGGAACCGGGGGTGGGGTGGTGGGGAGGGGGAGGAATGCAGAGCTCTCAGCTGGTGAGGCTGAGAGCAGCCATAGGGCTGCAGGACTGGTGGGTTCCCTGGAGCTCACAGGGTTGGCAGGGCTGCCGGGGCTGACCGAGGTAGGAAAGGAACCCTAAGGCGAGGCTGGCACCTTCCCCCCTTCCTGGTCCAGAAAACTCAGTTGTCCGGGACCAGTGAGCTCCCGAGGGAGCCAGATTAGAGAGGTCGGACCTGTATCTCTTTCTTTCCAGACCTCTCATCCTGTGTTTATTTTTCCACACCCTGAAGAATATATGGCGCTATTGTGAAACCACTTTTAAAAATACCATGATTGCTCAATTTTTAAAGGATAGGGTGCCGAGAGGGGAGGGCGTGGCCTGTTTCCTACCTTCAATAATCAAGCCTGTTAGCTCCTTACTTAAAAAGAAGCACATGAAACACTCTGTTCCTGCCAATGACAACTTTCAAAAAATGTTTTGGGGCTTGCCCGAAAATGCTAATTTAAGTAGGAAATCTTTGGGGTATTTTTGTCTCCGATTTTCAAAGTAGTGCATTCACTGCTGCCCAAACTTTGAGTTGTTAAATGATTGGTGACACGATTCCCTTTGCACCCCGGATTTACCTTTCCAATACGAATAGGTAGTGCGGTTCTTTACTGTACTGTAGTTTTAATACAGGATTTATGGGCGGTAGGCAAGCCCCTCCCCAGTCTCCCTTTCCGTCCAGGTCCCCCCTCCCCCACGGGAGCCACCATCGTAGGGAGGAGGCGGGCGCGGGGCCCCAGCAGCACAGGGAG